GGAACAACTATTGGGGTAGATAGATAGACTAAAGTTCTTAGCTGAGCTTTATTGACTACTCAGGCGATTTTGTAAATTTACCAACCTATTAAAACCCTTTTTATTGTTACGTGTTATTTGGCGTTTGTCTCTGTAACCCCAAATCAACATCATAACAGAAATAATAGATAAAATTTTTTGTGATAGAGAGAGTCTGGAAACACAAATTCACAATATTTATTTTTTTAAAAAATTGGAGGTTGATTTGAACAGCGAAATTAGATCAGAGCCTTTTGTTTACTGATCTAAAATGATAAAGGGCAGGAGCAAAACCCATCCAACTGGGTTTTCTATCTTGGAAAATCGAAATAATTTTGATTGAGTACAACTTGGAATAGAGCTGAGTAAGCAGGTGGACTTTTTGAATTAAATAATTTTTTGAAACAGTTAAAACCCCGTGATAAAAATAATTCAGTTTAATCAAAGGATTTTTCTATATAAACGCGTTTATGCTGAAAAGAGGCAGACGGAAGAGAGAGACAGAAGAGAATTAGCTCAGGCAAGAGTTGGCCTAGAGGCAGTGGGAACAAGTTGAGACTCAAGAAGGAGAGAAAGGACGTCAGAGATTGGAATGAAGCGTCCGCTAACATGTACTGTTGATATAAGTACCGCAGCTTCTGCTACCATGAATATTACTTCTACTGCTAAGGGGGAACGCCACTATAAACTTTAAGCCGCGCCCAGAAATCTTATTACCCCATCGCAAGAGTCGTATATCGTTCTGAGACGATTTAACAAGTTAATCATAACACACACACTCTCTCTCTGTCCAGAATCCAGTGTATGCGTTTTTACGTCAATTACTTTTCTTTTCTGTAACCCATTTTCTTTTCTATACTATTCTTTTCTGCTATATAAAAGACATTAACAATTCAATCATTGATTAGTTGTTTGTCCGGCTTTCTGCAGATATTAATTTATTTTTTGCTGCATTCTAAATTTCTTAGCGCAGACTCTCCAGCCGTATCTACATCTTCAGTCGACCGTGAATGAATGAACATCTCTTATGCTTTCTGGATCAAACCAAACACAACGTGGACAGGAAGCAGGATTAAACCAGCGGACCGGTCGAATAATCTACGGATGCTCAGGAGACCTACGGCCACTCCCTTAAGTTTGGTTAGGACTGAGTAGACACCACAACCCAGAGAGTAAGACGTCGGAGGTTGGGACGAAAGTGTTAGACTATCTTCAATGAGAAAAAATACTTTTCTCTACTTCAAAACTAATTTAAATTGACTGGAAAGAGACTTCAGAGATTTTAGCACCATTCTTAGCCATCTTTCAGCGCAATTTAATTATCTTTATTAAAACCTCTTTCAAAACTAAAATATGATTTTCTTAAATATTTTATCTGTAATATTAAATGATATAAATTTTAGTTAATCTTTTTTGAAACAAATATTACTTTTAGTTTAAAATATCACAGAAATGCATTTTTAAACACAAATGAAGGTTTTTATTTAAGTTGTTGATAGTTTGACTGACAGCCGAAAATACTCCTGGAAAATATATGAATCGACCACTTCTCCTCCAGCCATATGTAAAGTAATAGGACTTCTATCAGTAACCTGTATTTCCAAAACATTCTTACAATCCAAAGCTATTTTCTGGCTTTAAATAACCTGTAAAAGTTTGATAAGACCTAAAAAAAGCAATCAGTCCGCATCACTGTTTCCTTCTTTCCTTGGCCGTCTCTTTGGGTGTGGCTTGCTTTCCAGTATATTCAGCCCCTGTATTTATTGTCTCAGTTTTACTAGTTCATAGAACACACCTTCTATCTATGGCCTTGTTCTTACTCTGCCAACACATTAACTTATACCTGCCTTGCCCTGGCCTACATAATCTCTCTCCAAATGACCATTCCAGTATGTCATGAGGTACCTCCTTTTACCAATCTTGTAAAAAAGGACAATCTGTTTTCACATGAACCCTCTGAACTCATTTGTTGCAGAACAGTGTTGCCTTTTTTTTTCCTTTTATCCATTCTTTACTTCTGCCAACCCATCCTGTTATATAGTCCCTAACTTTTCATGTATGGACCAGTGTGGCCATTAAGGTTAAGGTAGCTAGTTCCACCCTAAAACACTCTTCCTGAACTTTCATATTTTTCAAGGCCTTTTCTCAGCCAATTGAACCTAACCCCTGTATCTTCTTTCTGTTTGGTATCTTGATGTGCATTTTGTAAATTCTAAAAGATAGCCAGACTCACCAATGACCAAACTGTTATATATTTGCAGACATTTTGATCCACCATTGCACTCCATATACCCACCCTGCTCTTCCATGTACATCCCAGTCAACCTGTAAAATGTTGATAAGACCTAAAAAACCAATCAATCCACATCACTGTTTCCTTCTTTCCCTGGCCGTCTCTTTGGGTGTGGCTTGTTTCCAGATATTCCCCCCCTGTATTTGTTATATCTCAGTTTTACTCGTTCATAGAACACACTTTATAACTATTTGTTTTTTATTCTGCCAACACATTAACTTATGCCTGCCTTGTCCTGGCCTACATAATCTATCCAGTATGTCATGTGCCTCCTTCACCAATCTTGTAACAGAGGACAATCACATGACACTTGAACCCATTTGTTGCAGAACAGTGTTGCCTTTTATTTCCTATCTTATCCATTCTTTACTCTTCAACCCATCCTGTTTTATAGTCCCAACTCTTTCATGTATGGACCATCCATTAAAAGGTAGCTAGTTCCACCCTAAAACACTCTTCCTAAACTCTCATATTCCTCAAGGCCTTCACAAAATTCTCAGCCAATTGAACCTTAACCCCTGTATCTTCTTTCTGTTTGGTATCTTGATGTGCATCTTTGTAAATTCTAAAAGATAGCCAGACTCACCAATGACCAAACTGTTATATATTTGCAGACATTAGCTGGAGCTGATCCACCATTGCACTCCATATACCCACCCTGCTCTTCCATGTACATCCCAGTCAACTCTGTAAAATGTTGATAAGACCTAAAAAACCAATCAATCCACATCACTGTTTCCTTCTTTCCCTGGCCGTCTCTTTGGGTGTGGCTTGCTTTCCAGTATATTCACCCCCTGTATTTGTTATATCTCAGTTTTACTCGTTCATAGAACACACTTTATAACTATGGCCTTGTTTTTATTCTGCCAACACATTAACTTATGCCTGCCTTGTCCTGGCCTACATAATCTATCCAGTATGTCATGAGGTGCCTCCTTCTACCAATCTTGTAACAGAGGACAATCACATGACACTCTGAAACCATTTGTTGCAGAACAGTGTTGCCTTTTTTTCCTATCTTATCCATTCTTTACTTCTGCCAACCCATCCTGTTTTATAGTCCCTAACTCTTTCATGTATGGACCAGTGGGGCCATTAAGGTTAAGGTAGCTAGTTCCACCCTAAAACGGTCTTCCTAAACTCTCATATTCCTCAAGGCCTCCACAAAATTCTCAGCCAATTGAACCTTAACCACTGTATCTTCTTTCTGTTTGCTATATTGATATGACATTTTTGCAAATTCTAAAAGATAGCCAAACTCACTAAACTGTTATATATTTACAGACATTAGCTGGAGCTGATCCACCATTGCACTTCATATCCCTTCCCCCTGCTCATCCATGTACATCCTAGTCAACTCTGAGGCCAATCCATCAGATCAGTTTTAGGTAATCTTGACCAACTCATCTCCTGTCAGTTTACAAAATATCATCTTCATTGTGACAATAAATTACATCCAGGAGCAAGGCCTTCGCCTTCATCATCATCATCATCACCAGCGGATCCGCGACTGACCAGCCTCCGCCTTTGCCCTCATCATCACCAGCGGACCCACGACCTGCAAGCAACTCTGCTTTATTTCATTCAACCAGATTACCAGACAATCTGGAGATTGAAGGTTTTGAGAATCCTGAGATCTCTGACCCAGAGTGGTAGCACCTATTAGGGTCCCAGCTATGGGCAGATGTTGAGCCCCCCACCAATCAAAACCCCCTATGAAAGTATAAAAATACAAACAATACATTTTTTTTTATAAAAACATTTCAATAATACATAACCAGCAATAATTTTTATCTATAGTTGAAGGCATACAATTTCATTCAAAATATATTTAGTTAAAGCCATAAAATTGTGTTCAAATTATTTAGATTTTGGTATTAAACTACCCATAGAGATGTTAATATTTGTGTTTGTTAGAGGATTTCTAACAGTCTACCTCAGGAAGAGGAGGAAGTAATGGAGACAATATTTGACACCTTCAATATGCAAAGGCCTCAAGCAATTTCAGAACCGCAAAAATCAAGCAGAAAAAGAAAATTTACAGAGCCTTTGATGATTAATCCGAAGAGGAAAAAATATTAGACCCCTGTGAGGTAAAAACTTCGGAGGAGGGTGTCATGGGTCCTTACCTAGATCGACAGAATGAACTCTTCCTAAAGCTTATGTATACTACGTCTCTCAAGAGAGACGGACGGTATTGAATCGAGTCGAGCTGATAGTAGTTCACTCCAAACCAGTCTGACAGTCATACTAACACCTTTCATTTCTTGTATTATTTTTCGTGTAATATATTCTTTGTTATTTCTACTCGTGTGTTTCGTGTTGTTCTTCCATGGTCCTAACCTTGGACCATAACAGTGTTAAACAAAATCAGCTACACGACCAACATGAACTTTCATAGCATATATCCAGGTATCATACCCAGAAGTTAGGTCACTTCCGGTTACTCAAGACACTCCTACCGAACCCGGATTTCAGTGACCTTCAAATAGTCAAAGCACTAGTCTAAGAAAACAAAAAAAAAAACAAAAAAACCATCAACAAAACTTTTCCAGGGGAAAATTATATCTGCAAACTTTATATAATACACTTCTGCATTGCCCTAACAACATATGCCTGAATAACAATGGCGGCAGAATTAATTTAATACGACATTCAGGACACGTGTCTCTGACTGGCACCTGTTCAGCATGAGGACCACGGGGTCGAGCAGATGTGCTCCCCGTCCTTGCCACCAGCAGCCGTAGCCATTGTCGTTGCAGCCACTACAGTCATCATCTATACCAGCAGTAGTAGCAGCAGCACCTGTAGCTGTCGTCATCACAGACACTCCTCATTTGCCTTTAACATCACCAGCGAACCCGTGACTGAGCAGCCTCCACCTTCGTCCTCATCATCACTAGCGGACCCGTGACTGACCAGCCTTCGCCTTCGTCCTCATCATCACCAGCAGACCACGACTGACTAGCCTTCGTCCTCATCACCAGCGGACCCGCGACTGACCAGCCTTCGCCTTCGTCCTCATCATCACCAGCAGACTCACGACTGACCAGCCTTCGCCTTCGTTCTCATCCTCACCAGCAGACTCACCACTGACCAGCCTTCGCCTTCGTCCTAATCATCACCAGCGGACCCGCGCCTGACCAGCCTTCGCCTTCGTCCGTATCATCACCAGCAGACCCACGACTGACCAGCCTTCGCCTTCGTCCTCATCATCACCAGCAGACCCACGACTGACCAGCCTTCGCCTTCGTCCTCATCATCACCAGCGGACCCGTGACTGACTAGCCTTCGCCTTCGTCCTCATCATCACCAGCAGACTCACGACTGACCAGCTTTCGCCTTCGTCCTCATCATCACCAGCAGACTCACGACTGACCAGCCTTCGCCTTCGTCCTCATCATCACCAGCAGACCCACGACTGACCAGCCTTCACCTTCTTTCGTATCATCACCAGCAGACCCACGACTGACCAGCCTTCGCCTTCGTCCTCATCATCACCAGCAGACTCACCACTGACCAGCCTTCGCCTTCGTCCTCATCATCTCCAGCGGACCCGTGACTGACCAGCCTTCGCCTTCGTCTTCATCATCACCCGCAGACTCACGACTGACCAGCCTTCGCCTTCGTTCTCATCATCACCAGCAGACTCACGAGTGACCAGCCTTCGCCTTCGTCCTCATCATCACCAGCAGACTCCCGACTGACCAGCCTTTGCCTTCGTCCTCATCATCACCAGCAGACCCACGACTGACCAGCCTTCGCCTTCGCCCGTATCATCACCAGCAGACCCACGACTGACCAGCCTTCGCCTTCGTCCGTATCATCACCAGCAGACCCACGACTGACCAGCCTTCGCCTTCGTCCTCATCATCACGAGCAGACTCACCACTGACCAGCCTTCGCCTTCGTCCTCATCATCACCAGCGGACCCGTGACTGACCAGCCTTCGCCTTCGTCTTTATCATCACCCGCAGACTCACGACTGACCAGCCTTCGCCTTCGTCCTCATCATCACCAGCAGACTCACCACTGACCAGCTTTTGCCTTCGTCCTCATCATCACCAGCGGACCCGTGACTGACTAGCCTTCGCCTTCGTCCTCATCATCACCAGCAGACTCACGACTGACCAGCTTTCGCCTTCGTCCTCATCATCACCAGCAGACTCACGACTGACCAGCCTTCGCCTTCGTCCTCATCATCACCAGCAGACCCACGACTGACCAGCCTTCACCTTCTTTCGTATCATCACCAGCAGACCCACGACTGACCAGCCTTCGCCTTCGTCCTCATCATCACCAGCAGACCCACGACTGACCAGCCTTCACCTTCTTTCGTATCATCACCAGCAGACCCACGACTGACCAGCCTTCGCCTTCGTCCTCATCATCACCAGCAGACTAACCACTGACCAGCCTTCGCCTTCGTCCTCATCATCTCCAGCGGACCCGTGACTGACCAGCCTTTGCCTTCGTCCTCATCATCACCAGCAGACCCACGACTGACCAGCCTTCGCCTTCGCCCGTATCATCACCAGCAGACCCACGACTGACCAGCCTTCGCCTTCGTCCGTATCATCACCAGCAGACCCACGATCGACCAGCCTTCGCCTTCGTCCTCATCATCACGAGCAGACTCACCACTGACCAGCCTTCGCCTTCGTCCTCATAATCACCAGCGGACCCGTGACTGACCAGCCTTCGCCTTCGTCTTTATCATCACCCGCAGACTCACGACTGACCAGCCTTCGCCTTCGTCCTCATCATCACCAGCAGACTCACGACTGACCAGCTTTTGCCTTCGTCCTCATCATCACCAGCAGACTCACCACTGACCAGCTTTCGCCTTCATTCTCATCATCACCAGCAGACCCACGACTGACCAGCCTTCGCCTTCGTCCTCATCATCACTAGCAGACTCACGACTGAACAGCCTTCGCCTTCGTCCTCATCATCACCAGCAGACTCACGAGTGACCAGCCTTCGTCCTCATCATCACCAGCAGACTCACGAGTGACCAGCCTTCGTCCTCATCATCACCAGCAGACTCACGAGTGACCAGCCTTCGCCTTCGTCCTCATCATCACCAGCAGACTCACGACTGACCAGCCTTCGCCTTCGTCCTCATCATCACCAGCAGACTCACGACTGACTAGCTTTCGCCTTCGTCCTCATCATCACCAGCAGACTCACGAATTTAATTCGAAGGCCGTTCGTAACCCGATGTGTTCGTAAACCGAAACTATTTTCCCAATAGGAATCAATGTAGAGAAAAAAAAAGTCACAGTACAATAAATTTGGAAAAGAAAAGTCCGCCACAATACACGAATATTTACAACACGGCGGTCGACTCAGAAATGATTTCGTTCGGGTTAACTCGGTTCAGCTATGTTGTTCGAGAACCGAAATTTTGTTCGATAAGCGAGGCATTTTCATCTGGAATTTTCTAGTTCGAAAACCGATTTGTTCGACATGTGGGACGTTCAGGAACCGATGTTCATCTGTACACGCCAAAAACAAGCACACGCATGCGCGCTCACACACAGACACAAATACACACGCAATAACAAAATTAAAACAAAATAATTAAAATAAATAAAAATAATATAAAATAAAATAAAAATAATATATAACAAATAAAAAATAATTTGTCCCTTTTATTTATTTATTTATTTTATTTTATTTTTTTTTTTTGCAATTTCATCGATTGTCCAATCAACAACCAGGAAATTTTAGACAAGTGCTCACTCGAGGAAAATTAGACACGGTTTCAGGTCAAACAGGAGAGAACTAGTCAGACATGCCTGGTCGCAAACTCGTTAAATATTATTTGATTTTGCCTTTATTTATCAATTTTTTGATAATTAATCCCTTAACTGTTACCTCGTGGCTCCTCAAATCACCCCCTTATACCAACCTTTTCTTGGTTACCTCAAGCTCCCTCTAATATCATACAAATCCTTCCCATGACTCTCAGAGGAAAAAAAAATACTCTCACAAACAGGGTCAAACCTTATTTTTATTATCAGAAAATTCACTTCCTTAAAAAAAAAAACAAAAAAACATTGTGTATTTATTTATTTATTCACTGTCCATTTTATTTAAAATTGGTGTCCTGAATTGTTTTTAAATTTTAAAACAAAGTTAACGACCTGCCCACCTGTGTAGTGCGTTAAAAAAAAAAGTTTGTAATTTTGTCACCGGTTAGTGTTCGAGATCTGGTATTGTTGACGTTTTCTTTTAAGACAGACGGGTTATCTTCGCTCTTAGAACCATGGCGCAACGCAATCTTCCCTAGTTATTTTTTTCTGGACTTAGTTTTATAGACAAGTTCGAGTATTTTATGTCAGTATCTATGTCACTACAGTAGTCAACAAATAAATTATTTTTCCTCACTCATTAACATTTTTTTTTGTTTTTTCGTTGTTTTTTTTTTTTTTGTTTTAAACTTTATTCCCTGTTGCGCTGGGACCCTGACCTCAGCTAATCCTTCCCCAACCCACGAAACAGAAAATAAAATAAAATAAATATAAAAATTTGTTAGTACAAAAAAAAAAAAACTAATTCGGAGATTTAAAAAATAGGACGAAACATTAGTTTGTAAAATAAATTAATTAACCTTTCAAGAAATTAGTGCTTTTTTTTGTGGGTGGGGACACAACAAAATCTTTCCGTTTATTTCTTCGTGTCTTGACTTTGTGAAAGTCATTTGGAAATTTCCCAGCACACCAGTTTTTTTTTTTCTTTTACTTTCACTTGATAAATAGGAATTTTGAAAATTTATTTGTATATTATGGTAACTTTCAACAACTTAGTAATACCACCCGAGAAAAAAAAAAAAAAAATGACATTTAGTGACACATACTTTACAATTTGACTTTGCGTACAGTAAACAGAAACTAATCAAAACTTATAAGCAAAAAATTCATTTCCATCTTTCTTTTTTTTTTTTTTTCCCTAAAAAAACATATGTGTGGAGTTTGGGAGATTTTTTTTTTTACACGGATCCCCGATATATTTTATATTTTTAAAAATTTTTATTTTTCAAACTTGTTTTTTATTTGGAAAAATACAAAAAAAATTATAATTTAAATTAAAATCAACACTTAAATTTTGTTTTATATAATACAAATTTAACATTTTTTTTTTTTTTTAGATTTTTAATCTTTTTTTTTTTTTTAAGTTTAATTTAAAAAAATGAAAATAAATACAGGGTATTTATTTTATTTAAAATTAAAATTCCTGTTCGATCATGTAAAAACTAACTTTCAACATTTTTAAAATTTAATTTTTAGTTTAATTAGTTTCTAAAAGTAAAAAAAAAAAAAAAAATACTGCATAAGGTTTTAGTTAATTTTTGTAACATCAGTTCCTTTATTTTAGAAGATGAACCGTTTCTTGCCAGAGAATCATTTTTATTTTAAATGTCTAATTACCAAGCCCCCCCCCCCCCCGGGGTCTATGAGGGAAAAAAAAGGGGCTATAGAGAGTTATTGATGCGCATTTGGGACTTTTCATTTTTAGATGAAGTGGATTTGCAGATAATATATACATTATTATTATTATTATTATTATCAGGAGGAGATGAGGACTGGTACAAGGCCTAGGGTCTCGTACTTACCCCAGAATAGTATTACGCCTCGCTCTACTAAGTTTTCATAAGGGAGTGTATCATATCGGATAGAAATTTGTTAGTGGAACCTAATTATGTCCAGTCTATAAATAGATCATATGCAAAGTAGGCGAACAATTGAGCTAGAAAAATAGGAAAGATATACATATTTAATTTATCTAAAAATACAAATTAGAAACATGACATAATCATTCCATCTTAAATAAATCAAGGGTTAATTTTGTGTGTGTGTTTTCGTTAATTTTTTAACATAAACTTGAGATCCCTCCCCCTTCTGTTAAAAAAAAAAAAGTCGAACAATTTTAAAACATATTCAACATTAAGAATAAAAAAAAATAGTGAATTTTTTTTCTATATATATATATTTTTTTTTGAGACTTAGGATTTAAGCAAAACAACTTCACGCATCTTGACGGCGCCCAATCGTATCAGAATGACGTCAAAATCCGTGAAAATATTTCATTCTTTAATAATTAGTCAGTTGTGTTTCGTTTACTTTAACGTTTCATTTTTTTTTTCTTAATAATGTTCGCCCAATACAAATTCCAAAGGCCACTCAAGATAGTGTTTCTGTTTAGAGCTGTTAGCGTAAGAAAGGTTAAGATAACAGGGAAGTCGGTCAGTTCAGTTATTTGCCATGCGTGATACACGCTTAGGCGATCATGTATCTTTCGATACGTGACTGACAAGGCAGATTTTTTCCCACGCAGTAGGTTGCCATTTCTTTCTGTGGTAGACCAGTTTCCATCCAAGGCTATAGAACCCGGTCTGTTCTACTATTTACCCATAGCTTAGAAGTAGAGGATTCATACTTTTCCAATTTAGTTTAAAATCATGTAATGGATTCGACTGAATTGAACTTTGCTTTCCTTTCCTCAATTGCCGCTATAGGGAAGACAGACAGCTTTTTTTTTTTTTGGAAATTCAAGATTTAATTTATCAGGAAAGAACTCTTAGGAGTACAGAGAGTTCAAGTAGGTTTTAGAAGGAACCGGAAACCCAATCCTAAACAGGAAACAAAAGACCGGGAAAGAGTGTGAACCGGACTATAGAAGTTTATATAAGTGTAGGTAGAAAAAAAATCAAGTGTTGATAAGATAGCGGGAATTACAAGCCACTACCGGGAGATCCCCCCTCCCATATTCAGGCTTGTCCCCCTCCCATTTTTTCAGGCTTGTCCCCCCTTCTTTATCAGGTTCGAGGAAAACATTATTATTATTATTATTAGTAGTAGTAGTATTAGCATTATTATTATTAGTAGTAGCATTAGTATCATTATTATTACTATTATTGTTATTTTTATTTTCTTTGATTTACTGGCGTGTATATTTCTTTCCGGGTCCCGCCCAGGGACCTAAATTTAGAGATGGCATCATGACGCTTTTTCTGACAAAAAAAAAAAAAAAAAAAATAGATAAAGCCCTTCGTAAAATTTGGGCTGTACTTGTCAGAACAATTTTTTTTTTTTTTTTTGCATGGACTTTTTTAATCCCTTCAATTAGTCTACTGCAATCTTTTCTAACCAGTCCTTTTTTTTTTTTTTTTTAACAGGGATTGTTGATGTTCTTCTTATATGCCACATTTTTTCCTAGATTTCTATTTCTAGGTCCTTATTATTATTATTTTTATTAGTAGTAGTAGTTTTAGTTATTATCATTATTATTATTATTATTAGGAGCATTAATATTAACTATTATTAGTAGTATTAGTAGTAGTAGCAGTATCATTAGTAGTAGCATTGGTAGTATAAGGCCTAGCATTATTATTAGTAGTAGTATCATTATTATTATTATTAGTAGTAGTAGTAGTAGTAGTATTAATATAATAATAATAACAACAACAACCACCTCCTCCTCCTGGATATAGCACCACCAAATTTTTCTTCTTCCTTTGATTTATCTGAGATGCAAGATAAGAGAAGGTAATAAATAATTTAGATAACGCCACAGACTTTGGAAAAACGCATTTTAAATAATTTAAATACCGTCTTTGAAATTAAAGTTCCCTTCTGTTTGAAAGATAAAAAGGT